CTAACCTTAGCTTGAGGGATTAGGAGTTTTGTCTATTTGCTACGTGTTAATTGTGGAGTACGACGTATAGGCATGGTGACGAGTATCTATACGTCGCTGTCAAGCATGCCCGTGAGTCTTGTGTTATAAATTGTTATGACTCCGTTGTGGTTTATTGTGCCTCACATGTTATTATCATCATTGTTCCCTTGCCGGGATGTTTGTTTGATATTATTGTTCCCTTGCCGGGATATTGTTGAGATACCATTGTTCCCTTGCCGGGATGTTTGTTTTATATTATTGTTCCCCTACCGGAATATCGTTGAGATATCATTGTTCCCTTGCCGGGATGCTTGTTTGATATTATTGTTCCCTTGCCGGGATTCCTTGTGATTATAATGAAATGGGAGCGGGTGGTACGCCTACCACAAGATATAATGAAATGGGAGCGGGTGGTACGCCTACCACAAGATATGATAAAATAGGAGCGGGTGGTACGCCTACCACAAGATAAATGAAACGGGAGCAGGTGGCACGCCTGCCACAAGATACAGGAAATGGGATCGGGTTCCACGTCTGCAACAAGATGTGAAAAGAAAGTGAAATCTGCTTTTTTTTCCTTATTCTTGTTAGTGGTTGGATTTTGATCCGTTATAATTCTTTTGATATTCTGTTTTTACCTGTTATTTCCCGAAGCATGTTTCCCCCTCCTATCTTTACTTGTTTACTTCTGTATTTCTTTTTCGTTGTATATATTTGAACTGCACAGGTTTATGTGGTAGTCATGTCCTAGCCTCGTCACTACCTCGCCGAGGTTAGGCTAGACACTTACCAGCACATGGGGTCGGTTGTGCTGATACTACACTCTGCACTATGTGCAGATCCCGAAGCAGCTTTTGGACCGTAGTGTGGAGGCTACCTTCAGTCCACGCGGAGATCCAAGGTAGACATGCAGGCGTCCGCAGGCCCTGGCGTCTCCCTCTATCCCTATTTCCTGTTTCATTTTCCTTTTATTCAGAAACAGTGTACTATTATTTCTTCAGACCTTGTATGTAGTAATCTTAGACAGTCTGTGACACTGTGACACCAGGTTTTGGGTGGTTAAGGCTTAAGTATTTGTAATAGATTCGGTTTCATACATTTTATTGTTGTCTTCCGCTTAAATCTGAATTTCCGTTGTTATCACGTTATCGCCTTATAATTGTTAAAAAGAAATAATTGGAGAATGAGGTAAGTAGTTAAGGATTTGGCTTGCCTAGCTCACATTAGTAGGCGCCATCACGACTCCCGAGGGTGGAAAATCCGGATCGTGACACCATATTAATTGATGCATATTTTATTGGATTTGAGAAAATGATTTGAAATGAGTAATAAATACATGGGTATAACAGGGAAAAAAATTTGTCTTCTCTTGATATGCGTAAAGTGACAAGTAATAATAAAAATCTATTTTTAGTATACATGTCATGTAAAAGTGATCGAATGGAGTATAGTAGTATTATTATATAACACTGCTGAATTAAGACGGTAGTGAGACATAATGGGAGGAGCGGACATGATTGGCCAGCAGCTACCAATTTCTAACCTTGGTAGCTCCATATTTAAAGTACGCCAAAGTGGGATCACACGATGTTGGAAAATGTTGAATTTGTTATAAATATATTATATTATGGATGTTCATTTAGTACTCCATTGTAAATAAGCTTCTTGGAGAAGCGTATCCATATGGTACTCCGCCGTAAATATGTTTATCTACTTAGTACTCTATTGGAAATAAGCCTCCTGAAGAAGCTTATCACTTCGGTACTTGGTTATGGATAAACATTACCCACGGTGGAAGACTATCCATACCGGGTACAATAAGCTTATCCTTTGGATACTCCGTTATGGATAAACATTACCATGGTAGAAGATTATCCATACCGTGTACAATAAGCTTATCTTTTCGGTACTCCGTTATGGATAAACATTACCCCAGTTGAAGATTATCTATATCTGGTACAGTAGCAGCTTACACAGCAGCTTGCAGTAGCAGCTTACACAGCAGCTTAATTTCTTCTATAAATAGAGGAGATTTCAGTTTATTATGTACATAAGTTTGAAGTTGAATAATATATCAGTTTCTCTCTATACTTGTCTTTAGTTTATTTACTTTACAGTCATTATTTTATAACACGTTATCAGCACGAGACTCTGACATCTCGAGCAAATACTTTGAAAGTATCTGAGGTACGAACTTTCTTTTTCTAAATAATGTCAAATCTTTCTAAACTTGAATTTGTAGCCCTTGGGCAAAAGCTACATGTCTTGGGTGCTTGATGCTGAAATTTATCTTGATGCGATGGGTCTGGCAAACACCATCAAGGATAAAAAAATCAGGCATCAAACCAAGACCGTGCCAAAGCAATGATATTCCTACGCCATCACCTTGATGAGGGCCTGAAAATGGAATATCTCACTATTAAAGGTCCAGTCATACTGTTAAATAATTTGAAAGATAGATATGACCACCTGAAGATGGTCGTTCTTCCACATGCACGTTATGATTGGACTCATCTATGGCTACAAGATTTTAAATCTATAAGTGAATATAATTCTGCTATGTTCAGAATTATTTCCCAATTGAAATTATGTGGTGATAAGATTACTGATCATGATATGTTGGAGAAAACTTTCACCACTTTTCACGCCTCGAATATGCTCCAGCAGCAGCAATATCGAGAGATGGGATTTAAAACGTATTCTGAACTTATCTCACATCTTCTTATAGCCGAGCAGCATAATGGGATATTAATGAAAAACCATGAAAGTCGACCTACTGGTTCTTGTCCATTCCATGAAGTGAATGAGACGAACTTTCACCAAGCTAGACGTGGAAGAGGTCGTGGCCCCAGTCGTGGTCATGGCCGTGGTCGGGGAAGAAACTCTAATCATGGTAATAATAATGCACCAAAGAACCCTCCTCGCCACTAGCAGTGGAAAAGGAAGGAACAAAAGCATGAAGCGGTGGAAGCACCAAATGTAGAAAATGCATGCTATAGATGTGGAGGAAAAGGGCACTGGTCACGTACCTGCCGTACGCCAAAGCACCTAGTTGAGTTTTATCAAGCCTCCCTGAAGAAGACAGAGAAAAATGCTGAAGCAAATTTTATTTCTGAAGATAATTTAGACTTCATGCATTTGGATGTAGCTAATTGCTTTGCACTCCCAGAAGGAGAAACAAGTCATGTAATCGGTAGTGAATCTGTAGAAATATAAATATTTTAATTTTTGTTGTTTGTAATAGATAGTATGGTTATGTAATTATTATACATAAATAAAAGTTATGCTTTGATAATGATCGTTACTATAATATATTTTATTTATGTCATTTTGAAGAATATGGATAATTCTCAAATTATGTTTGGATCAAAGAAAAATCATGAAGATATTTGTGTTATTGATAGTGGAACAACTCATGTCATATTCAAGGATCAGAAATACTTTTCTTATTTGCATAAGGAAAAAGCAAATGTTTCAACAATTTCTGGTAATATAAGTCTGATTGAAGGCTCTGGAAGAGCCATTATATTTCTCTCTATGGGAACAAAACTTATTATAGACAATGCATTGTTCTCCTCCAAGTCTCGAAGAAACTTGTTGAGTTTTATAGATATCAGCCGAAACGGGTATCATGTTGAGACAATAGATGAAATGAACATGGAATATCTTTGTATTACAAAGAATATTTCTGGCCAGAATGCATTGTAGAAAAGTTACCAACTTTATCTTCTGGCTTATACTATTCAAAAATTAGTACAGTTGAAGCACACTCTATCGTAAACCAGAAGTTTACGGATTCAAATACTTTTGTGCTTTGGCATGGCCGTTTGGGCCATCCTGGATCAATAATGATGAGACGAATTACTGAA